TCCCCTACCACCGATGCCGGGACACCCTGTATATCATTCGCATCCTTGTTTCGTTTTAAAAATTTTTCGTTTTCGCGTTTGGCCCCACAAAATATATATAATATTATATAATATAATAATATATAATAATATTATATAATATTAAAATATGTATAATACATTAACAACACACAAATTCTCCCTTTTCTCAAAGGGCAGAAATTCGAACGAGATAGCCTAAAATTGATATCTGCAACACTCTGTTCAATTGATTTCGATTAAATTCAATCTCTAATTGTAAGTGAATTTAATTTCACGCCAATGAAAATTTGAACACGACGCTTGATAATCTTTCGCAAACACCCCGACAGTTTTTGATTTCCCCTTGTTTTATCTCCACGAAGATTTCATCGCGTTGAAAATGAATTCCCTGGGTAATAGATATCGAAAGACTTTGAACGCTACGGCGAGGAATGATACATGTCCTCGTGTCATTCACGGCTGCCGAGCTTGGTAAACGCAAGACGGAAGAGTGCTAAAGATAACCTCCCCGTAAAAAGTTGCGGCGAGCAGAATTTATTACGAAGTTTCATGGGAGGCAGGCAAGTATGCATCAAGCGTTTAATCTTGATACATATTACAAGCACGCCGTATCACTGGATTTGTTCTTTATGGCGAGATACTGAGATAGATCCATCGCTCTTCGATAATTAATTGCTATCTATCTTCTAGTTACAAAGTATGGGATACTTGTTTGAAGAAATAAAAGGAAGGAGATTACGGAATTTTACGCCGGCGCTGGAGGTGATTCTACGTGAAAGCACGAGTCGAAAGGGAGGAATAAATTTTTTTTATCGAAGCTGTTGCTTTGGAGAAAGTCGAGCTTGAAAATTGATCGACTATACTTGAATTTAGTTAATTCCACGCTGGACCGGCGCAGAAATAAATGAAAAGAATGGAAAAAAAATTTTAGGCGTCAAACTTAAGGCGTTATTATTTAGAGAAGAGTCTCTGAATAAAAATTGCATTAAAAATTTTGATACACGTCAAATTACGTCATTTTCTAGAGAAGAATCTTTGAATAAAAATGAATTGCATTAAAAATTTTGATACACATCAAATTACGTCATTATTTAGAGAAGAGTCTTTGAATAAAAATTGCATTAAAAATTTTGATACACGTCAAATTACGTTATTTTCTAAAGAAGAGTCTTTGAATAAAAATTGCATTAAAAATTTTGTTAAAAATTGCACCGAAACACGTCAAATTACGAATCGAAATTCATCCATTAATTTATTAAATATTCAAAATATTAACAGAAATTAACTCGCTATGAAATAAATCTATATATTTGTGCTAGCCACTCCATTTCATCTTGAATGTTTCAATTTTTCACGAATGCAGGGATACCTCGAGAATAAAACACGAAACGCGGGAAAATCAAAATCGTACGTCACGGAGCGGTTCGTAATCAAAAGATTTCCGGATAAAGCCTTCGTACGTCAAAGCAAATAGATCAAGAATAGATCCTAGACCGCGTAGACCTTAAAGCCATTGAACGAAACCCTTTGTGAACATGTCAAAACTCGAAGAGAGTCCTTGTACTTATGTGAGTTCGAAGCTACGCGATAGAAATCTTCGCCGCGTTAAAGCAAATAGATGGAGAATGGTCGAATGCTCGGTGGATTAAAAAAGCTGCGCGATAGAAATATTCTATATATATATATACATCGAAGCACAAAGAAAAGCAGAAAAGAAAATTTTCAAAGGAGACCGTACTTATCAGACTGTATTTATCGAACTTCCCGTATGAATAATATACAGGAAGAACCATAGACTTTAAGATCTCTGATAGGGTTCGTTCGTGTTAGTGCAAACACGTTGAATAATGGTTTTAATAGCCATCGTAAATCTAAACGCTGCTTCTAGAAAAAGTAGTTTTAAATTATCAACTGGATCGTTTCTGAATTTGTGGTTTTCTTCAGTCGCGAAATTAGAAAGAAATCGTTGAAAATCAGGTCTAACTTCCGCGAAGTAGAAAAATAGAAATGATAAGTAATATGACGATAAATCTAAACTAATAATATGATAATAAATCTACGAATGATAGTAGTGAAATAAATTTTTGAGCTTATAAGATATATTATATTACAACGTAATGTAATAATGTTTTTCGGATACTTAAATGACGAATTTGAAGATTTACAACTGGATCGTGAAGGAAATTTAATGTTTGAAAAAATTGTTTAATGTATTTAGTGATGTACAATACGTTTGATGTACAAATATGATTGGTGCACAAATTTTTTTATTATTTTTCACATTAAACAACAAACAGAAACGTTCCTTCGATATTCCTCTCACGAATATATAAAATCTCCACTTGTGACATTATCCGCAAGATTTATTTATTACAATTAGATCGTTTTATATGGAAAAAGAATATTTGACAAAATCATCCTGAAAGTCTAGGAATTTTGTTCGTTGAACAATCCTAAGCAGAAGCATCTCTGTCCCATTTCGACGTTCTTCTCGCGCGAACAATTAAAATCTCGAGATCTATCGCGTCCAGGACGAATCTGGCTGCTCAGGAAGCGCAGCTTAAGCCCGACGGAACAACTCGCCGAAAATTTTCCAAATAACCAATTCGCGAATGCTTAGTGTTATTAGGAATCTCCTTGTCTCATTACAGACGCGTGCTTAAACACCTCTCGGTTTCCTCCAGCCATTCCGGTGAAATCAAGGCGCAGCTTTTCACCCCTCAACGCCCCCTTCAACCAACCCCTCTCAATCTCTCTCTCTCTCTCTCTCTCTCTCTCTCGCACTTTGTCTCTCGATGTCTCACGGCCTCGTAACTTACCTTGTACCTGCACTTAGAATCTCAACACCGCCTGCAATTCGAGGAATTAGGAAACTCTTGGCCCGTAACTCGATTGGAGTGCATTCGAATTCGCGCATTCCATCCCCTCCCACCCTCTCTCCAACCGCCAACCGAGTGCTTGTATCCCTGTTCACGCCGATGCGTCGCGTACACGAAAGCGGAAAGATCGCAGGAACGATGCGTGTCAGAAACAGACGCTGATTTTCCGCTGATTTTCACTGGTCGTCTCACAACGTTCGGCTCTGCGTCTTATCCGGGGATGGATAAACGAGGAGTGAGTGTTTTGGCAAACGAGGTTCGATGGAAAATGATTCTTTCGTAGGTTGTTTCGTAGGTTATACATATATATATAATAAATATAATATAATAATATAATATAATAAATATAATTATATAATATAATAAAAATATATATTACAAATATATATTTAATATAATAAATAAATATATAATATAATAAAAATATATATTACAAATAATACAATATACATAATATATAATATAATAAAAATATGTATTATATATTATATAATATATGTAATATATAATATAATTAAAAATATATTATATATTATATAACATATATAATATGATACAATAAAATTTCATAGATTGTATATATAATAATCGTATAATATATATTATAGAATATTATATATATATATATATATATATATTATATACATTATATAATATGTAAATTATAATTATATATATATAATAATAATCGTTAGATATAAATATAATTATATAGTATAAGTTATAAATTAAACTATCAAATAATCATTTTAATTTAGAAAATCTTGTCTTTTGTCGTCGACAATAGATAATAATGAGGTACAACTTGAAACCAACGTACACATATTCCGAAAATATTCATTGTAATATCAACGTAATATTATTTCATCTAATTGCTACATCATCATTCATCATTTCATCAATCAATTATCATCATTTTATTATTTCGTCATTTCATTATTCATTATTTTATTATTCCATCTAGTCGTGACAATTTCATTCGTTATTTCACTACTACTAAGAACTTTTCTACTTTTCTGTTTACACCGATTCAACTTCTCAATGTCTACCTAACGACGCAGAGCCGAACGTTGTGAGACGACCAGTGAAAATGTCTAAATCTTTAACTCGAAGCAAACGGTTGCAAAGAGTGGTAACTTTTTTTTTTTTTTTTTACTCTAGTAATTAAACGAAAGTTTCGAGTTAATAGAGGGTTAATTAAACTTACAAACAGCGGTTATATCGAGCTCCTTTGAACGAATACACCCCATTGGAATTCACGCTGGAATGTTATCCCGCGGGCAATTGTAATTCTTTTCAACGTTCCAATGGCCAGCTTTGTGCGTTCATTTTGATACGAACGTAGTTAAGGGCGTATTTATCGTGCGAGTTCTATTGGATTTAACCTTTCAGCTGCAGCGAGTGTACGAGCGCAAACACATATCGGCGGCTCAATGCGTTTGTTTCCCTCGTTTTGCGCTCGGCCGGTTCGCTCTAATTTTACAATTAGACAGCGCGTATGAATTTGTATTTTTTGACATCACGCTCGCCGCGCGAAATGTATGTATTTCCACGTTTGCTGGTCGCGGAGGGTAAAACTCTCGAGATAAAACAGCGTCGATAAGAAAGTTGTTTTAAACGCTTTTTAAACGAGAAATATTGGACGAATTATTACTCATGGAGAAGCCACGTTGCGCGATATTATAACGTAAATATCAAATTTGCATCCGAAGGATCAGACTGATTTTTTTTTTTTAATTAGATTCTGCTGTTTGAAAGGATCTCTGCACTTGTTTAAACACTTAAAATCGAAAATCTGTATTCGTCCCTTCGAACTGACAATGTTAAATTCACGAACATTGATAATTAAGTTTTAAATACTGGTAGTATATAATACTTTGGTAGTATATAATACTATTAGTTTAAATTATTGAAACTGAAAACTCGAAGTCGAATAATCATGAACTTCAATATTTAACACTAGAACTACTGACTAGTGTGTAACATTTGCTTGGGAAAGAAATTAAAGTGCAAGGTACGAGAAAAAGTTAATAATACAATGAAGAACACAGTTTAAATAAAAATACACTCTTTTTCCACAGAATATTATAAATCGATCATTTTGCCACTTTGGTAGTTCTAGTGTTCAATTCGAATGTAAACGAAATGACCAATTGTTCAATTCTTCTTACAAATTTTATTCTCATGATGTATTTTTAAAGATTTAAATGATAATTTCTACTAACATTGTATTATCAAGTTTTTCTATTCCCTTTAATAACACAGAAGAAATTTTCCGAAATTAAATATTCCGATCGAAGCTTCACGATCTAAATATTTCAACAAAAATTGTTGAACGTGATTTTCTTTAATTCAAAAAGAAAAAAAGAGTCAATAGCCATGAACTGAACGGTCTTCTATTTAGATTCGCATCGACAGAAAAATCGCAGGCACATTTTGCGCTCTGATTTCGTCGACGTTTGTTCAGAGCATTCCGAACGAAACCAGCGAAATGATCAAAGCGTTTAGTAGCTCGTCTCGTGGAACATGCCCAAAACGGTACGATAAAGCGAAACATGACGGCGGATTGGAGGTATAAGACGCTTCACGCAAGCCAAAGACTCCCATAAAGGCAGAGTCTCTATTAAAAACGATTCCTTATTAAACTTTTTATTCTACGATTCGTCACTAATTGTAACAGACAGCGAATCTTTACAAATATCGTGACTTTTATAAATTTATTCATAAATTATATAATATTAATAATTTTTGTTATAATAAACATTTAATAATTTATTTTTATTATAAATACTTTATAATAAAAATAATATAAATTTAATTAGTATTTTTATAAAATAATACTGTGACTTTTATAAATTAATTCTCCGAGAAAGAGAGAAAGAGAGTGTATCAAGTATATTATAATAAGTATTAAGAGTTATTTTCTAAATCGAAACTTCCTTTTTTGCCTCAAGAGTTAAACTTTAAAAAAAAACAGTTTTATAAAACACGTGAAATTTCGTTTAGAAAGTACGCGATTCCATGAAAAGCAAGAAAAAAATGCTTTCATGCTAGAAAAGAGAGAACTTCATTTTTGCGCAACAAATATTTTCCCGTCTACCTCGTTTAGTTTTATAAATAATATCACTTGGGTAAATATCAAACGAGACATTAACCCTGTTTAAATTCCAAATATGCAAACAATCTACGCATCCGCCGTATAATTATAATATATTTTCTAGGATATACTTGCGACGCGTTCAGTTTCACGTACAGCACTCGTTGAAATTTTCACGATGCCAACTTCCATTTCACTCGTTTGAATTAAACATCGACAGAATGTTTAATCAAACAATTAGCAGATACGAATTAATTGAGAGTGTCTCGCATAAAGAACCGTTCGAAAGAAGACGTCAACGTCTTCTTACAATGTTCTCAGCGTATTCCAATTTACACGAACGTCAAAGAACTCAGCGAAACGATAACTGATAAAATATTAAATAAAATCCTACCTGCGTTCCAGTAAATTGAAAATAAATCATTAATTAGGAGCTTTCGCAACGAGGAACCGTTTCAAGGAATTCTCGCAGAGATCAAAGGAATTTTTGTAAAATCGAAACTAAATTTAAAATTCGCTAAATTGACGTAAATTTTTAAGTAAAAGTAGTTCAACACTTCTCGCAAAGGTCAAAGCAATTTTTATCAAGTCTAAATTAAATTTAAAATTCGTTAAATTGAAACGAAATTGACATAAATTTTCAATTGAAATTAGTTCAACATTCTTGGCAAAAGTCAAAGCAATTTTTATTGAATCGAGAATAAATAAATTTAAAATTCGCTAAATTGAAACGAAATTGACATAAATTTTTAATTGAAATTAGTTCAACATTCTTGGCAAAAGTCAAAGCAATTTTTATTGAATCGAGAATAAATAAATTTAAAATTCGCTAAATTGAAACGAAATTGACATAAATTTTTAATTGAAATTAGTTCAACATTCTTGGCAAAAGTCAAAGCAATTTTTATTGAATCGAGAATAAATAAATTTAAAATTCGCTAAATTGAAACGAAATTGACATAAAATTTTCAATTGAAATTAGTTCAAAGGTCAATGGAATTTTTGTCAAATCGAAATTAAATTTAAAATTCACTGAATTCTAAGGAATTGACATAAATCTTCAACCAAAATTAATTGCAATTCAACACTTCTCGCAATCGTGACTAAGTTTAAAATTCGCCAAAAATTCCAGTCAATTCATCACTTGTTGACAACACAACTTGTCACAGCAATTTTTACAGAATCGAAATTCAACAAAATTCAACATTCGCTGAATTGAAACGGACATGCTGAATTTTTCAGCTAAATTTACTTCAAGCGAAATCAAGAATCAGTTACGACTTGATGAACTCGATGAAGAAGAACGCGAGTATTTTTCCGAGATGCTATTTCAGCATCGACGCGCTTGCGATTCAATCCGTATATCATCGCTTCGGATTAAAAATCGAGCGTAAATCAACAGACAGCCGAGTCGGCTAAGCACAAGGGAGCGCTCCGAGGAAAACATAATCAATTCTGTACACCGACGTAGTAACCGCTGCTCGAGAATCACACCTGCAAGCTGTTGTTGTCCCTGCAACGAACACCACCCACACAGGCGAGCGCTGATCCGACAAGCAGTTATCGGCCAGCGTGTCGCGACGACGCCCATAAATCACGTTAACTCGATTTTACGACGCGTCGATGGTTATTAAGTATCGAGCTGCAGATAAGCAGTCGCACGGTGCTACGTTTTCTCAACCAATTTGCAACGGGATTCTTAACGGCGGTCGTCGGTGGGATTACAGACTCTCGAAATTAATCCTAAACGAGCGCAAACACGCGATGTTTGTTGGTTTCAGAGTCGAGGCATCTAAATTGTTTATTTTCAGACTAAAAGTGACTATATAGGTGCACAGAACTCGGAGAGATGATGGTGTAAACAGGATTCAGGGAAAAACGCAGAGGAAATGGAGAACATAAATGAGGAAGAAAATGGAAGAATAGAGGTAGAAAGCGTACGTACAAGTGCAGTTATACAAACGTATAACTCGGGAGAAGGAGAAAAATACTTAAAATGCGAAATACCACTAACAATAACCCTAAGATTGTTGGGTATATTGAAAATACTTAAAATGCGAAATATTATTAACAATAACACTAAGATTGTTGGGTACATCGAGAAAGAAATAAAACGAAACAATACGAAAAGAAGAAATATACTTAATTTGTGACAAACAGAGAAGAGTACCTAAACCACGTAATATTAGAGCACTCCAAAAAAAGAAACATCTACGACTAACCAAGAAAGAAGCACTTGAGTGGAACAGAAACAACAAAACAAACCCTTGCAATAAAAGAACGAAGAAGACGTGAAAAGAATATTCGAATGAAAAGGAACTGTGAAAATAAGGACTTTCTGTAGAGACAAATGAAAGGAGAGATAACCTGAAGGAACCAATAAAAAACAAGAGTATTCAAATGCAAGTATAAATATATTTTATATTAATATATACGTATAAAATAATATAATATTTAATATTATATTATTATATAATAATATTAATATATAAATAATATCATAAATTAACATATTATAACATATTATATATTTAATATTATATAATATACGTATAAAATAGGATATACCCAAATTACTAAGATAAGCGTAGTAACCTAATATACAAATAAAATAAATCACTCAATAAAGTGACTATATTTAAATGATTTCGCCGCAATGAATGTTATTAAAAAACAATTTTTTCAAAGTCATCGTATTTTTTTGGTATTAACATCCATTTTTTAATAACACTGTGTCGTGGTCGATGTCGAGACGATTATGATATGAAAAGGTGGCCTCACAGGATTTTTTTTTTTTTTTTTTAATAATATCAGATGCACGCCCTGAAACGATTTATGAAAGCATGTCTGCATCGGTGGGAAAATACTCGCGTGTACTGGAAGATTTCTCAAAGAGGAATTCGCAGCATTTTTAAATGAAGGGATCCTGAAGCGCACCACGTGAAAGATATTTGCATATGTGGGACAGTTTTTAAAAGAATTCGTTGCTTATTGAAGCTGACGCGTGGAATTTTTGGATCGATTGGTCCAAGAGAAACCTCCTTTTATATTGTTTCGCAGTGAGTAAATGGAGAGGTCGAATTTGAAATATTCACTCGGAGAAGATTCATATGATTCGCAATGTAAAGATTAAATTTAAAATGCAATACGCAATAGAGAGATTAAATTCGAAAGAGATTTCTCGAATACTTTTGCAGATCAATATACGTGTTATACATCATCTGTGACCCCACCGAAATTCAAGAATGCATCGTTCCAACACCGAAACTATCAACGACCAAAGTACTATAAAACCTGTGGAGAAATAAAAATGTAGAGACTAGAAAAAAAATTTATAATTCAATAAAAAAAAAAGTCAGAAAAAGAGCCAGCAATTCGGCCTAATACTCTAATAGAATTCAATTACAATTGCACAATCTGACATTATACAAATATAAATATAAAATATAATCTAACTAGACACATAATATTATACAAATATAAGCCAATTAAATAATTGTAATCAAATCATCTAATTAAATAATTATAATTAATTCAACGTCTCGCGATCGCGGAGAATCCGAAACGGCGAAAGAACTCGGAACTCCTTGCTGCACCTTCGTCGTAGAAAATGTTAATTAAAATCTTGATCAAAGTTGCGTGGAAACTGAATGGGAAAGCGGAAGTTGGAATGGGCTGGCTAGCACATCCAATATCCAGCATTATACAGAGTGCACGCTAATCGTACGCGAAGTTCCAACCAAAATGCTGACCCAAGCATCCACGCGATCCCGGAAACCGACACGGCACCAGCATGCACGCTTCCTTTCTACCTAATGTACAGGATGGAAAGAAAAATTTATCCGTTGCTATCACAGATGAATTCTGCACCTTCGATTTGATCGAAACACGTGTAAAGAACTTGCCGTAAAATTGACCTTGACTCTGAACTTAAAGGTTAAATTCTTTTGCATTGCATTCTACTCATCATGAAAGTGAAACTTTCCCAAGGAGCCATAGGTCGCAACTTGATAGTGCTTTTGAAAAATGGCAAAAAGGTTTCTTGATCATTTGACACCGCCGGACACGCGCGTGCTAACAGCGACTTTATGATTACAGACGCGTCTGTTTTACGTAATTTTCGTAATTAGATTTCGGTACAACACTTGATTTGTCACAGTTGCAGCATCATTGTGAATCTAAGTAATCAAACGATAAGGCTTAACTATTAACATTATTCGAAATATAAGCACATAGTGCTTACGTGACATAGACATCCGCGCGTCCAGAATCATAAAGTCGCTGTTAGCACGCACACGTCCGCAGTGTTAAATGACTAAGAAACTTTTTGTCTCAAAAGAACTGTCAGGTTGTGACCTACAGTTACTTGGAAAAATTTTACCTGCGCGATGAGTAGAATACAGTGCAAACAAAAATTCAAGGTCAAAGTGACTTTTGCGATAGGTTCTTTACACGTATTTCCATCAAATCGAAAGTGTAGAATTCGTCTGTGATAGCCATGGACAGACTTCTCTTTCCACGGATTTCTTTCGTTTCGCGCCATCTGTCTGCATCTATCCGCAACTTTTCGTTTCCCGGCCAAATATTCGGGAGGAGGATCGGCGAGAGGAGGCAGCGATCAATCGCTAATGGGCAACGCGTGTTCCACGATCGATAAAGTTAAAGCTTAACGCGCGGATACACGATGGTTAATAATTATCGGTGGCACTGGCGCGTTCATTAATCGCTGGTCGCGAGCCTGGTGTGCGCTCGCGATTAACGATATCGTACGCGTGTATCTGACTGTACGCGGTTCTGTTTCCATTAGATGAGTCGCCATTTTAACCAAACGACACTCGACCGGAGCACGACACATCCTAACACTTTCTCAACTGCTTTTTTAACAAATGGGGGGTGACGATTGAATCAATCTTCAATTGCTCGCGAATGTTTAGAAAAAATTTGAGACTAAAAAAGAAAAAAAAAAACAATTGACAAGGAATTCTGAACGATTTTTAGCGTGCATTTTTACAGAGTCCTGTACGCGTGTAATGAACATGGTTTATAGGAAATTTCACTTTGGGATACAGAAAGATAATCAAATTAAATGCTGCATGATATTACAGCGAAATTGTACGATACAAACTTTCTTCTTGAGAATTTTTCACAGAATGGTGATGTACACCATTTCTAATTTAATTTTCTTCTGTGTCTTATACAGTCTCGCGAACATACCTTCTAAGAGGGATGTTTTCATCCCTAGGGCTGTTTCTCAAAAGAGATTGCACCACAATCGTACAAAGTTTCAAATTTTCAAAGTTTCGAAATATTCAGGCAACATTCGGTTTTACAGCAATAATTTATGATAATGGCAAAATTTATTTTCATATAATTGCCGGGATAGCAACAATAGTTAATATTAATTATTATGTGTCGGTTGCGTTGCCGGTTGGTAATTTATTCGCGCATCAATTTAGCAATTAATTAATCAAACGTGACTAAATTTGGTATACACTGAATCGAGCGAATGCAAGGTGGCGTATTGATGCGGTTATAGCGTCGAAATAATGAAAAACGTGAATACAATAATTAGACAGCGCGAGCGTCAAATGTATCGTAGAATATTTATCAGACGCTCAAAGGTCGAATGTTTAAATTTCTCGCCGGTCGAGCTTAAACGTTTATAATTTACTCGTTCTTGCAAATTTAAACGTTTCGCAATTTACAATCCACGATGTAAAATTGCGGCCGTAATAATTTGCAATTGGCGATTTAAGGATTGATGAAATCGAGGGTCGGGAATTTTATGCGAGCTTATCACCTACGTAAACAATTTCATTCTAGATTTCGATCTGCGCGTTTCCCATTTCTTGCTGCAATTGTCATCGTAGCTCTCGATTTACGTGGCTCGTTAAGGCCAATTCTACCTGTTATTGCTCACCCCCGATGAAGAAGGAGCGATAAGATGTTCGCACGCACTCTCGAGTGCGCGATTTTTAATTAAAACGCCGTAGAGCGCGCCTTAGAACTCGGATAGACGAGCCCGGGAACGTTTAACAGAATTACCAGGAAACAGAATGGCGCTTCTGAATATCAACTTCTCGTCGAGAGCTGGAAATTTACCTAACTCCGTTAACTTTACTTCGAAAGTCCTGCTCCCAGTTGCTGCTGATACTTTCGCCTTACATCTTGCAATAACAAATTAACCCCTCTCCTTCCACCACCCCCTCCGCCCCTGCGATTTGTACGACCGTTCGTTGTTCCCTCTGTAAATTCTTTCGAGCGAGATAATGGGGATGTTCAAGTGCTGCATGAATGTAATATTTAAGTAAAATTCGAATGTTTCTGAAGAACACTGAAAAAAATGTGATTTTTATGTAATTGTATAAAATTATAATTTAAATATATAAAATATTTAAATATATAATTAAATATATAATTTGTATAATATATATTATATTATATATTATTATATATTTATATCTATTATTATATTATATATTATTTTATATTTATAAAATTTATATAACTATATATATTTATAAAATATATATAGTATATAATAATATATAATTTTATAATTAATAATTCTAATAATTAATGATAATAATTTCAAAATATTTTTAAGACAGACAAACGAAAAATTGGAACACCCATTGATATTGGTTGGCACAATGATTTTCAAATTTTGAATTTACCTTGCACTTCAGATGCTTTATGAATCTTTCTACAAGAAAATACATTTGTGTTGCGAAAATCTGAATATTAACCTACCGAAGATCGACGTTGCATTAATTGATTTGTACATTTTTTTCATTGAAATCTGTTTCTTTAACATTCCGTCTGTAAAACAATAATTTCCAAGAATTGGGATTCACTGTATCTGTATGAACGAGTTCGTTCAATATAGAAACATGGACAGAGTATCGGTTGTTGCTCCTGCATTACAACAATCTTATGATTCTTTAAATAGGGTAAATTACAAAAATCTTATGATTCTTTTAGATAGAGTAAACACCAATCCACAGAACTGTATTATTTTTTCAATCACTACTTCATCATTATTTGACCAACGATATTCCAAAGACAATATTCCAAAGTACACGCCTATTTCTCGTAACTTTATACCATTATAAAACAAATAAAACTAAGTATTTTCTCTCACCAGAAAATTCTTTAAAACACGTGAAACAACGTCCCACCAAAAAAAAAGAAAAAAAAAAGAAAGAAAAACTCACGTCCAAAATTTCAGCCAATTTTTACCAACCGGCTCGTAGTAAACAAAAACCGACCGGGTTTCGATCTCGCATCCCTCGAAACAATCGAACAAAAGCAAATGCCCCGACGACGACGACGACGAAGGAACGAGCTGGTTTTCCAACATTTCGAGCAAGCTTTCGTACGAGGAGCCACGAAATAGGAGCCGAGAAGACTGCAAGAATTTTACTTTTAGCGTCCGACACTGAACTCTTCCCAAAGAGAATGACAAGAGGGGGGAGGAAGGGGTGTCGCTTTGTCGCGGGACGCGTCACGGTTTGGACGTTGGTACTTTCGCGAGCGAAACGTACCGGATACCGATGTCACTGACCGGACCCCCCGCAGTGTCCTCCGGTGATCACAGTCGTTTACGACTTTCCGAGGATTCCCTGTCCTGGAACACGCTCCGATTCACCAAAGGCGAACGAATTTATTCTGGAAGACGCCCAGTGCCAGTTCCGTCGTCCGCGTTCCATCCCCGGGTTGGAGAGTTTCGAGATATTTGATTGAAAATCACGAGGTATGAGGGGGAGGGGGGGAGGGAACGATTCCTATGTTCTCCTTCCGTTCGATCGATCTGCCCTTTCGGTTATTACATCGCTGCTAACGATTACGGCCCAAGTATTTGGCTTGGAAGTTGCGTTGCGGTTTTCGCGCAGGAGAAATTCTGGACGTTTCGCACGGCGAAACTACGGTGAACACACGCGTGTGGAGTTGTAAATAATAATGAACGACGCATGTGAAGTTATAAATAATAATGCGTCGAATGTTTGTGTGTGGAATACAAAGGAAGCAAAGTGCAAAAAGTTTTGTGAGATGTTTCGAGAAGTCAGAGAAATGATCGGAGTGCTTTTATAATATCGCGGGAAAGAGAATCATATCACGATCTACCTGGTCTCGTTTTTGAAAGGTGGCGAAGCTTCCATTTTGGCAGCGCTGAATTCGTTCTTTTTTCTTTTTCCAGGATATTTTAACGCGACGCAGCAAATGGAAAAAGAAAGAAGTTGTAAAAGTTCAAAATGCTGAAAAATTTTGTTTCCTGACTGAGTCTATAGCGATGAATTATTTGAAAAATTGAAATTTCCTCTGAAAATTTACTTACGATTTCTTTTTCATAGTGTTATTAAAATTTGAACGTTAAGATTAAACGGAGAATTCAAGAAATTTTAATATTTCGTCTAGCTTTGACGTTCAAAGTTCAACAAAATACCGGAAAGAAATCCTACAGCAAGTTTCAAGAGATCATGTCATTTTTTTAATGTTTGTAGAAACATTTTTGGAAAAAAGAACGAGCTCAGGACAATTTTCTTTTACGAAGTCTAGACCATCGACAATTTTTCATCATTGTTCGCTCAATTGTGCTCCTTGCTGTAAACCGTTTGTTCCATGTATCATTATATGCAGGATTATTTTATAATTAATTCAATGTTTCACTATAGAGAGAAAAATTTTTCTATAAAAACGAATACAATGGAGCTTCGTTCGTACGAATTTGTTTGGAGACAAGTTTGTATAATTGGAGCCCACTGATTCTCTCCTCTACTAGTGATTTTTCGTTCGTACAATAGGAATTCAGATTCAAACAAGAGTTCGTTCAATTAAACTCAGTTCGCATAAATGGAGTTCCACTGCAATAGAATGTAACAGGCTGTTTCTAGCTAGCACGAGATAATTATAATAATAACGGAATCGTTTTGAAACCCATATAAAATAATATTTAGAATTATATTATAAAATAATATTCGGAAGCAGCGATTGTAACTATGCACACAGGAACTGTACACTTATCTCCACAGAAATTTTAACAATCGAAATGGATATTGCATCGGTTATTATAATTAATCTGTAGTTATAATTTTAATTATGTTTGATCATAGAAATACGATAAAATATGAGTGTGATGCGAGAAGCACAACGTAGCCATGGAGCGCTTTTATTTTTGCAAAGAGCAAAGTCGAACGAGTTGAAAAACTGAATCATGAGAGATCATTCAGAGAGAGAGAGAGAGCTGTTAAAAGTGTCAATTGTGTTATTAAAAGAGTTTGACTCGTTAATTCGTGTTGTTTAAATATTAATTATCTGTCCTATTTTCATTACTTTTATTAAATAAACATTATTTATATTATGTCTCTACAGTATTGTAATTTCTTTCAATTTCACAGCTCGTACATAACGTAAAAAATTTTGCAAATAGAGTCATCTTATCAATTTTACTATTACCACAGATTTATAAGAGTAACGCGACAAACGAAAAACACAGCCGGTAGAGCAATTAAACGCGAGAACCTCTTGCAAGTACCTCTCTTCAGGCTTGATCGTTCGGGTTCGTTTATCAAGGGTTGTTTACCCCGATACGAGAAGGTGTCGCGCAACGAAAGTTGGAGACGGATGTTTCCTTCTTTTGACGCCTTCCCGGCCGGGGAAAGTCTGAATCTTATTAGGCCGAATCATGAGTAATTTCTGATTGGCAAACGGTGACGTGTTTGCCAGTCGACTTTTACCCGAGACCCACCCCCATGATGTCGCGACGCGAATTCAACTTTCAAACGGGACGACATTTATACAACGAATGCTGGTATTTAATGATCCCCTGTTTACACGATCCACGCCGTGTCTGGAAATTAGTAGCACGTTCTTTCACTTTGACTTTGATCCTCTCAAGTTCCTCGAGTCGTTTCCACAAGTTCAGTTTCAATTGTTGTTTCTCTCTCAGAGCTAGCCTTTAGAGCTGGTATTACTATCTTTTTACTCGACTGTTAATTTGCTCTGTCGTCCTCTCGTTGACAAAACACAGTGGAATAAAGATTTTATAAATTTAGTGGAAACGATAGTTTGCTCACTTTAACCAGTTTGCTCACAATCTAACCTAAATCTAAACCTAACCTAAACCTTTTGATAAGTCTTCCCTTTGAGAACAGAATGAGAGAAATAAATAAAATATTCTGGCGATAGAGTGAAAAAATAGACAAATCGTTAGCTTTGAGATCATTTAACGAGAGAATTAAAGTTTACTCATAATATAATCTAAATCTAAACCTAACCTAAACCTTTAATAAGTCTTCCCTTCAAAAACAGAATGAGGGAAACAAATGAAATTTTCTGGCGATGGAGTGAAAAAATATATAAATCGTTAGCTTCGAGATCGTTTAAGTAGAGATTTAAAGTGTCAAAGCGTCGCTAAACAGCGTTAAAGCCGCGTTTCGAAATTTAACGCGGCCAAAGGGATAATGATGGCGGGATTCACGGGTCGAATGGCCGTACGACACACGTTGGCATTTCGAAAGACGGTTCATCGGCTCCGAAACGATCGTGTCCCATCAAACGGCAATAAAACCGTAATTGCACCGATTTGAATAATAACGCGCCGTTTAATACGCGCGTCCGACGATGACGTTATGTTAATAACGCCGGCTAGTTGCCGTGTAATCCGCTTTCGAATTTCAGTTCTTTCGCGCGTACTGACTGTTAATAAGGCGTGCCGACGCGAAATTGCCAACGATTCGAATAATTGAGCCTATCGTCCGTGTCGGTTCTGTTAAATGTCACGATCGTGCCCCCAACCGGACAAACGTTGTACACGTATCATTGCACGATTTTCCGAAATCGCGAAATCACATGCTTGATTAAATGCACGATCTCTTCATTTGCCGACATGTACGTGTTATTATTTTCAAATGCGAGACGTTTGTTTTCCGGTGCACGAAATATCGACGTCCGCCATGTTTTTTCATAATTTTCAGAATAATAATATTTTTCCTAAAAACAACCTAAAAATTTAATCTTTACATTTTAAATTTATTCTCACCGTCCTGACGATCGTCTATTTGAAAATTGGACAGAATTTCCCATGACTTTCCAAGTGAAACTAATCTTGTTATTTTTGAATTTTATTACACGGTGAATCCGGGGCCACGATGTTTACACGTGTGATACCTCACAATTACCATGAAACGTTTAACGAGGCGAGACGAGTAATCGCAGAAAATCCCACGCCAAGTATGCAAATGCAATGTCATCGCGGCAAAGGCGCATCAAACGCTCGGTTCGTAGTAATTGGCTCGAAAAAATGAAGTCGACGGGCGATTCAACGAACAAAAAAATAATCGCAATCGTCGCGTCCCACCGCGGCTGTTAATGAACGAAACGTCTGCAGTTCTTGTACAACGTTATCGCGACCAATAAACGCGATAACTCGGCCGGCGCCCACGTGACCAATTATCGGTTTCCGCGAAACTGATTATGTCCGCCAGTAATTCGACCTGCTCGGCATTATTCGATACCTGCGGCCGGCAAGAGCGCACAACCCTCTCGTTCAAAACTTACACTGGGGAGGTTACTTGTTTTTCCATCTAATTAGCACTGTTTTATATTATTAATTACTGTATTGTATATTATTAATTATTAATATTAATATTATATTAATTATTATTGTTAATATCTATAGGCCAAATTATATTAAATTATAATATAATATTAATATTAATATTATATTAATTATTAATATCTATAGGCCAAATTATATTAAAATATAATATAATATTAATATTAATATTAATATTATATTAATTATTAATATCTATAGGCCAAATTATATTAAAATATAATATAATATTAATTATTATTGTTAATATAATATTAATATTAATATTATATTAATTATTATTGTTAATATTTATAGGCCAAAAGTTTCTTCCCGCCTATTTTTTCTTTTTTTTTTTAATAAGACCTCAAACTATGAAAAAAAATAATTTTACTAGTTTAATTCGTTATTAATAAATTATGGATTCATTTCAGTGAAAAGTGATTTTTGGCCCGCCCTGTATTTGCGTCGTCGGTATACTGCGAATATCCATAAATTTTTGAAAAATTAAAAATCTTGCGGCTTTTAAATGTATCTACATTGTGATTAAACACAAAGTATATGCAACTGCTGTAAAACTGAACTAAATTATAACGCTAGTTTTTTCTTTGGAAAAATCAATAATTTTATTATTTAACTTAATTAATTTTAATTAATGATAATAGCAAGAAAGTATTTAGAAATGACGTAAGAAGAACTAGTCGAGTCCAATCTCAAAATATTCCAAAATGTCTAAGATTTACAAATATGTTCTTATTTTCTACAAAACATTTAATTTCAGTAACAAATTGTAATTTCCTTTTTTCATGACGAGTATACTCGTCATTCGCAGCTAAGAGATTAATAGAATGTAGAACAGAATTTAATCCTCGAATCACCAAGCAGAATTTCATTTTTTTTTTTTTGTACTGATTGTAAAGATACAAAGAAAGAAACAAAAAATCATAAATTCGTAGAATATTTTCATTTTTTCCTTTCTTTGCACAATATAATTGTTACTAAATGACATTTAGTATATCTACAATTCAGATATGAGTCAAAAGTGGTTAAAATAGAATAATTGTTGCAATGTTTGATATATGAAGGAAATTTCTATTTAAATTCTATTTGAATTCATTATTTCTAAGCCGTATTCATAAAAATGTAAAATTTCACGAACATCTATATATACCAATCACCAATACATGTTAATGGTTAGTATTGATATAATAATATACCAGCTTATTTATTATTGCTGTATCTATTTATGCGCTAATGGATACGAATATGAATAATCGATAGCTGTTATATTCAACTAATATATTAATTGTGTGTTATTAATAATATCTCTTTTGCTGCGTATTATTAATTAATATCTATTTCTTTTCCTATGTATTATTAATTAATATCTATTTCTGTTTCAGGTGAGTACTCCGCGAAGATTCTCTTGGATAACGAACTTTATTTGTTCCACGATTTGTCGACTCGATGGGTACGTAAAAGAATGTCAAAGAAGAATTGCAACTTCACTTTTAAATTATACAATAATTTTAGTTTATTTAAAAATTGACGGAAACAAGCCGCGATATAATTATTCCTCACGTGACTAGTGATAGTTAAAACCTCGTCCTCTCATTTTTCTTACATATTAGTCGACTGATTTACTCCGAGACAAAAAACGAGAAGTATCATTAATAATTTCTGAATGTCTGATGAAAATGACTGTGCTGAAGTTTCAAATTATACACGAGCATATAAATTTAATTGGCTGTTTTTAATTGCCTCGAAGGAACTTTCTTGGAAGAAAGAACTTCTTTTACTTCCCCAATCTCTCTATCATTTTCCATCGTTTTCATAACGTGAACGTAATTGCCGCAAGCTCAGGTCACGTGAGATGTTCGTGTAACATCGCGTGATTTTTATACGCTTTAAACCGGAGTTTGCGGTATAAAAAAAATTATGCCAGGACTTATCACTTACCCCGGTGTTATGGCAATTAAGTTAACGACGAAGGGATAATTGCAGGAAAAAAGAGAATTACAGTGATTGGTTGTCGATGAATAGTTCCACCACAAGGGGAGGGAGAATTTCGTTATCGAGTACGTGATTAATGACGAAATAATTGGCCCTCGAGTTCGAAAATTTTCTCGAAGAGTTGGGTTAGACTCTGAAGGGTTCCAAGTAGTTAAAGTGAAGGGAACTCGTTAGGAGAAGGCAAAGATTTTCCTTGGCCTGGCTTGTTTCTCTCGGTTCTTGTTGTCTGTTTCAGAAACATAACGAGCTCTGCGTTCAGCTTGAAAAACCGAACTCGCTTCTCTCGCTATTTACTCGAAGCGATATCCCTTGTATCTTTCGATTCGTTTTAGTCGTAAATATCCGTGCACGGTGAGCTTGAAGACAGCTCGATCGATTTCCAGCACTTTTTAATTCCATCCCCGTTCGAATTTCGCAAACTATGAAAAAATATAAGGGAATATAAGTACATGGGGTATGCTGGAAATTTCGAACAGTTGAACATCAATGCTTAAACATCGATCGAAATCCAGGTGAAAACTTTCTTACCACTAGACAGACGCGAATTTTTTATATATTTTATACAATATACATTTCACAAGTGGAATTTTAAATATTCAAATTCCAATTTCTCTGCGTTTAACCATTTGCGCTGGCAACTGACTGCGGACCGTAACGAGCGACCGAACTGCATACAATAAAATTCGTCGCTTTCTTTTCGAATCGGTATATGACTGGATAAAAATTATAGAGAAGTAATAGATTCATTATTCGTTTTGCCTGGACGATAATTTTCAAGTATATTTAAGCAAAACTGCAATATCCTCTGTTGCAAATTTTGGGGACAAGAAATTCTCGAATCCACACTGACGTTGCGAGAATTCATCGAGAATTCGCGAAAGTCACTTTTCATATACCTCTATATTTCACAATCAGTCAGAACCTCTCATTTTCTTGCGCTCTCTTCTTGCTCCGCCTGTCATTACTGCCGCCCTCTTTACCACAGATCCAACGCTGCGAAACAACCCTTTCTACTCGCTCTGTCGCTCTGCCCTTGATTCATCCCTCTAATACGATCCGGCCAAAAACACTCATCCGTCAGTCAAACCCCGCCGATCACAACGAGCGATGCATTAAACCCCCCGAGAAAGGGTCCATAATGTATCCTCCGCTGATCGTGCATCTTGCCAAGGCGAAGGGGTGACATATTTGCTGGGATTCGAGCGTCTCGAAGAAGGCGCGTCGTAAGATTTATGCACACGGGCCGACGTTATATTCCTACATGCACACACTCGTACATCAAGGTGTCTGAGGTGAGGGTGAAGCAGGATGGGAGATATAAGGGGGTGACTGGGATGGAAAATGTCTGAATTTCACGGAGCAACTCCAAGCGCGATCCACAATGAGTCCTGCTACTCGTATCTTGTACTCGGATGATTGATGAACCCTTGTTTATGCACGTCTAGCGAACTTCATCTAGCGAGCTTCGCCATTCACTTCCTATTTCGCCTCCCTTCGTTCGATCGACGCACCCCCTCGAAAACGGGATGCGTACGAACGTGTGAACTATGATATTGGCGAATGGTGAATGATGTACGTGACGAATTATATTTTGCTAATTTGCACTTTCGTTCTTTCGTTCTTGTTCGATTTGGATTGTGACATGAAATTTATCGTGGGTGTCTTTGTGCAACTTTTTAGGAAATATAATGTTCTCGTGTCCCACTCTAAGAGAATTCACCTGATTTTTCTACATTCGAAAACCGAGTGAACCGAGTTTAGATACTAAATCGTAATCGGAAATTTGATCGTTTCTATTTTTCTTTAAATACTTCCGTATTTAAGAACCAAATGAATCACAATAAATTCAAGTTCTAAATACCAAGCTCAAGTTACTGTGGAAATTATAGTGTCTGAAGAAATTTGATTGCTTCTACTTTTATTTCTGCAATTCTTTCAATCTCTTTCTCATTTTTTTGAGACTGGACAAAATGAAAGCGAACAGATTAATTTTATTTTAGTTTATTCTAGTATCTAGACACTAAACTGTATAATCTTAAGTCTGAAAAAATTTGATTGCTTCTGTCTTTATTTTTACAAAACGTTCCACATTTGAGAAACCGAATGTATCAATTCTAAGTTAGTGTTCATAATCCTGTCGAGCTACACAATCCTAAGTCACCGTGTAAATTACAGTGTCTGAAGAAACGTCGCTGCTTCTTCATTGTCATCTCAATCGTTTCATTTTCGAGACTCAAAATGAGCCCATATTGGAAACCAAACAGATTAATCTTACGTTAGTATTCAAATTACATTGTCTGAAACGATCTGTTTCTACTTACGAAGGATCCCTTCGTTCGCTCCCATATTCGTTTCATAACCTCGATCCCTCCATCTCTTTTATTTCTTCTTCTGCCTGTTCCTCTTTTATTTTTTCTTCCACGTTCATCCCCACCGGGCGAAACCTTTCTCATCGGCCACGAGTAGAATTCTTATCGCTTTTGTGTGTGTGTGTTACATCTCTTCACAAGCTCGGATGGAATGCATAATTAATTTCTCGCGCGGCGCTGTTTTTCCAGCGGCGTCATCATCGCCGACGATTCGCTTCGCTAAGAGCGTGTTCGATCGACGCGGATAATAAATTGATCGCGTGTGTTCGAGCCTGTTTTATTCACTCCGCGCGGGCCCTTCTCCGTGGTTATCAGCGTGTAATTAGTCGCTGCTTGTGCGTCTGCCTTTTTGATCCGCTTGCCGCGACATAATCGCTTTGCAAACGTTTCTTTCTCGATTTCACGTGTATCTCTCTCTCGACGTATGTACGCGCGTATATACGTGCAATTTAAACCCCGCGTTTGCATGAATTTAAATCCAGCGGAGACACGAACGCGGGCCAGTTTCTGATCTCGTTAGAGTAAACGTGAAGGCGAAGAATTTTTCTTTTCTCTTCTCACTAGAAAACTAAATTTATATAATTGTTAAATTTATTAAATTTAGCAATTTTATTCGTTATATTTTTCTATTTATTAAATTTATATAATTTATTAAATTTAATAATTTTATTTATTACATTTTTTTATTTATTAAATTTAATTTCATTAGAATAACGTATTGGAATACTTTTATGTCACTGGCATAACGTTATTGATGTTCGGTTGAACTTTTATCGAGGAATTGTGGAACGCCAGCGAGAAGCATTCGCAATAAAAGAAAAGTAATTTTAAATACAATTATAAGGAAACTTGAATATTTTAATATTCAAGGTGCCATTTTACGTAAAACATCATAAAAAGAATATCAACCTTCTCGTCAGTATATAAAGACAGCATATACGCTCTCAAACGTCGACTACATTTTTCCGCTCATTTTTGAATACATAATAAATAATAAATCATTTAATAAATATTTCAATATTCACTGTTTACACAAAACAACAAAAAATTCTCGAAAACAACTATAATCATAGTGATCAGGCGCTCGTTAATTACTCATACCACGCGATGGAATCGTCGAGTGTGATCCCACTCTCCTTCTCCTCCTCGGGTCTGCCCCTTCCGATTCCAATTACGAACCCTCGGGATGATTTGTTTTTGACTGAAAAAACACCGGTGGCCGGGTTGTTTCACCTTTGTGTTGGGCCAGGCCGCGCGAAGAAGGCCCTCGGTTCCACGCTGCTTCTTAATTAATGCGGCTCCCCAGAGTGTAATCAATAGAGCGACCCGCCTCTGTAAATTTCCAGCGATTTATTTGAAAAGAAAACGAAGAGAGCAAGTCTCGACAAAAGGTGAAAAACACGGGATTTAATAAATTCGAGGCAGGATGGGACGAGCGATATTTTTCCTTTTTTTTTTTTTTTTTTTTAATAAACATTTTTCGAATTTTTCGCAAAGGGGATGAATAAAATACACCTTACGCCCGGGGAGAAACGCATTAGTTTCTCAAAGAGAATTCAAAATAGCTCGGAAAGGAGAGGATCTATTTAAGCTCTGTTCGTACCAATTTCTACAAATGAAAATCAAAGTCGAGAGTTTAGCGTCGAATTTTAGTAGTCGGAAAGTTTAGTAGTTGAATTTTCTCAGCGAATCGTTTTTAAACATGACGTAATTTAAACGACGTAATTTCGACAACTTTCAAACAGAGTAATTCAAAGAATTAAAGTTCGCGATTTTCTATCGCAGCCACATTGAAAATTTGATGATTAAGAGGCACGTTGTGATATTGACTAACATTTGTTACGTTAATAATTAAATAATTATATTAATCAATAATTAAATTAATAGTTAAATAATTATATTGATCAATAATCAAATTAATAATTAAACAATCGAAATTTCTATTAACGATATTCACAGTAATAAGAAAAACACTGTGAAGTAATCAGAAAAGTAATAAGAAATAAAAAGTAAAATAAATCCTTTCGTCCACCTCGCATGCATAATTTCCTTCTTTCCTTTCAAAAATTTTCCTGCCGAAATGCACAGATCTGCAAATCCACCAATAAACGCTTCAGAGCCAGGGAAACAATGGAATCGTCACACCATATGCATTAATAGCGGCAAATGTGTTAAACCGGTTTCGAATATTGCATATACACGCGGTAATTAAAACTTTCGCTAAATTTTATTACACGATACTGCGACACGTACGTATATATACCGTACGTGTTTGTGTAAGCGCAGTGGTACGCGTTTGGTATTGTTTTGATGGTGAATTTTACATTCTGCTGAGTCCGGCGTCCGCCCGTTACTGTCGCGCCGAATTTTATTGCTCGAGCTCGTTTTAACTGAATTAACGCGATCGCGTAATTCGCAAAACGAACCGCAAAACAGGTAGAATTTAAATTTCTCGCTGAATATTGCGCGGCCAACTCTCTGTAAATAAACGATTAACAGGATCGCGGAGGAAACGAAAGAAACGATTCCCCGCGTAAATCGTGTTTTCAACCAATTCGAAAGATTTAAGCATCGCGGAGAAACATTTCGTTGTAGGAAAACGCTGATGAAACGAAAAGGGAAGATTCGAGAGTAATTTACTATTAAAGTAATTCGAACGATTCATTTGCTGCAACAGAATAGAATTCGGATATTTTATAGAATTCCTATTGTTCAATGTAATAGAATGCTTAAAATATGTTATACAATAGATAATAATATAATAGATTTATATATATAATTATTTATATTTATATTTATATTTATATTTATATATATAACATAGCAATATCTATAATAATCTATAATATAATATAATTTAGATTCGCATAATAATATAAGATTTTATTAGAATTTAGATACTTGTTCTTAACGAATAAAACAGATATTGGTTTTCGGAACAAAACCTCTGCCCAAGAGTCTAATGTAAAATGTGAAACGAGAGAAGGAGAAATTTAACACACACAAAATAGGTGAGTAGGTGAATTTCATCTGGCCCCCGTTTCGAAATTGAAATGATCAAAGTGCACAACAAATCTCGTTATTTGTTCGAAGATAACAACGAAAAATCACGAGCAAGTTTGATTAATTATTCATAAACGTGAAATTTAACCTATCGTAAGCAAGAAGCCATAAGCATATTTCGTCATGAAACTCGTCTGTCTATTCCAAAATGCGAAATTAACTCGGCGCGCAGTTCCTCAAGCCCGATCCACTTCGAAACCGAATTATTCCATAAACATGTACTCTCCTGTGGAAAATTTGAACAGCAACGCGAACAGGAAGTATACACCGCGTTGCCTGGACGTTGGGTGAGTTCAATTCGCAACGAGAGAGAGAGAGAGAGAGAACGAGCGTCTAATTTAATCGAGGCAATTAAAATGCCATCCAGCCTGCGCGATTCACGCAGCCAGCGTGTCTGTGCAACCCTCTCGGATTGGAACGGTTTTCAACCGCAAAGCAACTCCAAAACGACACCAACTTTGGATCCTTTCGACGCTTCTTCTTCTTCTTCTTCTTCTTCCTCTTCTTTCTTCTTTCTTCCTCGTCCTGCTGCTTCATTCTCCTCTTCATCTTGCTGATTTCACTTCGTCTCGCATCGCCTTTCCACCGTTGGCTCGCTTGCTTTCTTGCGCCGCTTGATGGAATGCATAATTAATTCGTCGAGTTGGGTGTCAAGCGCAGTCTTCTTCACGAAATCGCCGCGATAA